GCACAAGTCTATGTGGTTATTCTTTAGGTTAAAAAAGTTTTTTATATTTTTTTTACATCTATTGCTAAATATGTTCAACATTTTATCTGTTTAAAAACAAAACATTAAAACGAGTGATTAAATCTAAAAGATCCAGGCCAGATTTAAAGTTTGAACGCTCCTAGGCCCTCTTTATACCATAGCGATAATTTTCCTCTTGAAATAATTTAATAATTAAGTTAATCAATAAACTAAACAAAATTAAATTAAATTGAGACTGTCTTAGGCTTTTATATGTATTAAAAAAAAAATCTTTAATGTTCTCTTTCTGACAGTATCAGCACCTCCTAAGCATAGCAGTAAATCCTGCCAAACAAAAGATCAAAATTTTGGTAAATATTGCATTACCATAATAATTCCTTTCGGGTTTTCTGTTTATTTTTATGTCACTATGATACACTTCTTATTAGACGAATTAACCCCCAAGGTAAAATGTTTATTCTGTTTGTAATATGTCAACAACTATATCTGTTAACTTTTGTTGAAACTAGCTTAGTATTTGCTACTGCATTGCGAATATGGAAGATAATATCATTCATTATTGGTATATTTTGTTGTATTATTTTAAAAAAGATAAGCGTGCTGCAGAAGCTCATAGATAAATTTGCAGTCTTTATGGGGATGATGCCTTAACCGAACGCACCTCTCAAAATTGGTTTGCCAAATTTCATTCAGGAAATTTTGACATCAATGATGCTCAACGGTCTGGTCGCCACATGCCATTGAAACGAGCAATGTTAAGGCCATTGTTGATCAAAATCCCATCCAATCAGTACGAGGGATTGCTATGGCCCTAAATATGTCGTATACAAGCGTACAAAACCATTTGCACAAGTTTGGATATGTTTTCAAGCTTAATGTATGGGTCCCTCACTCTCTAACCGAAGTCAACTTGGCAACACGCATTTCTGTTTATGATTCACTACGGAAACGGCAACAAAACGACCCATTTTTGAAGAGATGGGTAACAGGAGATGAAAAATGGATATTTTACGATAATGTAGCTCGTAGAAAATCTTGGGGACTAAGTAGTGAGGCTTCTAGAAGAATGCGAAAACCCGAATTGTTTTCAAAGAAGATAATGCTTGACGTATGGCGGGATTTCAAGGGTGTTATTTTCTATGAGCTATTGCCATCAGGACAAACAATAGATTCAACTCTATACTGCTCACAATTAACAAAATTGGACCAATCAATTAAAAATAAACGCCCAGAAGTGGAAAATCGGAAGGGTGTTGTGTTCCACCAAGACAACGCTAGGCCCCACACCTCATTGGTCACTCGAATAAATTATTGAGTCTTGGATGGGACCTTTTGCCCCACCAGACCTAGCTCCAAGTGACTACCACTTATTCCGGCACATGCAGAACTCCATGAATGGAAATTACAAAAGAAAGAGGACATCAAAAACCAATTGGATCAAGTTTTTAACTATAAACTCCAGATATTCTATGAACATGGCATTATGCAGCTAGTGGAAAAATGGGAAAAGCCATATTAAATAATGGTCAATACATTGTTTATTAAAATAAATTTTATGTCTATAATACATTGAATTTTATTTCACCCTGAAAAACCGTAAAGACTTATTTGCCAACACAATAGAAAGAGTTTTAATCCAAATGTTAAAAAAAAAAACTCTTTTTCATTTAGGTTTTGAAACTTTTCATTTTCATTTTCTATTTTTGCCTCTCTAACAAGGCGTCGCGTCAAAACATAATTTTGAATAATAGCTCATTATAAAGAGGATAAACTCCTGAACATTTCCCTTCCTTACAGTATGCAGGTCTGATTTTTAGTTTCTGAGATAATTTAATCCAAATGTAAAAATTAGTCGACTCTACACTACTTTATTTGAATGAGCGTAAGTATTCTCAACCACACAACTTATTACACAAATTAACAACAATATTAAATTAATCTGGATAACAAGCCATAAAGGTATAATCGGTAATGAAATTGTTGGTACTGCTCCAAAAGAAGCATGCTTCTTATTTGCAGTGCCTGATGTAAACACAGTGCTGAGCGACTACAATAAAGCAAGATAGAACCTATGTAAAGAAGCGTGGCATTACCCTTAGACCAAGGTTCCAAGTACTAATAAAATGAAGAAAATCTACGATGACACTAGTCCACTCCCACAGATTAAAGGAAATCGCCGAGAGAAAACTGTTACAACACACCTCAGAACAGGGCACACGAGGCTCACTCGATGGGAATTCGCTACCAGAATGTGGCGCTGCAATATTGTTCTTACTATAGAACATATTTTAGTACATTGTCCGACCTTAGATAAATCAAGGATCTTTTATCGTCTCCGATATCGACAAAGACTACAATCTGAAAACTTGAAAAATTTGTTCCTATTTCTGAAAAAAAATCAATTACAACAGACATATTTAAACAACACATCCCTTATGAACACACTTACCATGCACATCAGTTGTAACAACAGATTGTTCATAGACATATCAGAACATCACAATATCACCAAAAACAACATAACCTTTTCACAGACATATGTTTATTGGAAATGTAATGAAATTAAATAAGGTGCCTCTAACCTTAGCATCTGCAAATGGCACCCAAATATAATTAAATAAATAAATATTTACTCTAGAAAAATTATTACAATGAACAAATGAGTTCAATTTGTTGAAGGTGGAATTCAATCAAGGTAGAAAGTACCCAATAGTGCATCCATAGAACATTTTTAAAGATTTGGACAATTTTCTGAACTCAGTGCAGAGTTCATCGATGCCATCGTATCTCTCAGTTCAGACACGGATCCGATAACTTTGATAAGCTCAGCACTAAATTTATTCATTTTTTCCAATATTAGTTGTTGTTTTTTTAAAATTGTCTACACATTTAATTTCTTTAAGACGTCATGACGATATTCACATGCAGACATACAGTCCCGGGCTTAAGGGCTCCTTACACATTCAATATTATCGAAGAAATATAATTGAAGGCAATATATTGAAGTTGTATCTCACATTGTTCAATTATATTGAAGCAATATCATATCAGTTGAGATCTTGCTTTCATCTAAGAAGGAGGTTTCCAAAGAGGTAATCTTTCTTTTCTGTGGAAATGAATAATAATGAATTTGTTGATAATAATGAATAATAATGAATGAATATATATATATATATATATATAAGATAAAGACCGGAGACTGGCGATATCAGCCTTAATACCATCTGGCAATGTAAACAAACATGCTAACTGTATATAAGAAGAATTATTGAACGAATAAAGCAGTGTTTATTCAGAAGCCGTGAGTGTTGCCTCTCTATCCCTTTTCTTCTTTTTTTTTATTTTTGAAGTCCGACGACGCTTAACTTTTATATATATATATATATATATATATATAAGTTATGATTTGACTGAAGAAATAACAACACTGCTAGTGGGAATGAAGTGGTTTTATTTCGAAAACTTACATAAGTTTTCTACACTGTATTAATATAACACTTTTGTAACCTCACCTTTTTGTTATCTATCAATTCTCTATATTAACATGTGTTTTTAAACAATTATTTAGCTTATCTTTAAGAATAATACATCCTATATACAGTTAACTTATATATAGATATGTATGAGAGTGTGTGTTCTTTGGAAATGCCTATTTTGTTCATAGACATTAAAATGTTTTTTTTTTCAAATTAGTTCTGTTCTTGTTTAGTAATTATTTAATTTATCAAACGTATTGCCACTATCTTTTTCAAAAAAGTTCCAGTTTCCCAAATAAAATTAAAGTAAAACAGTATCACTCATCTACCCAAATATATTGTCATTTTATCTTCTAAAAAAAATTGGAGGTGGAGGTTCAATCTCCTCCCCCCCTCCCAAATAAAAATTAATAAAAGTAAAACAAAGTATCACCCACCTATCCTAACATATTGCCATTTTATCTTTAAAAAAAAATCGGAGGTGGGGGTTAAATCTTAACCCTCCCTCCTAAAAAAACATTAAAACAAAGTATCCAGCCCCTTAAACATATTACTGGGGGCACCAGAAATTTGGTACCGCCCAGAGTTTTTCAAGATCCGTATATATTATTTAATATTGTCCAATATAGCTTAGACTTGTAATTATACTGACACTGTTTCAATAATATTGAAGGAATATCAATAATTTTTTTTAAAAATTGATATCAATTAGTTTGATTGACGTCAATACAAGTGATGCTTTGTGTATGTGATGTAACCCTTAAACGGTCAATGTGTTGATGAAACTCGATATTGACTCAATAGTTAGTATTGATCGTGTAAGGAGCTCTTAATCGTGTAAGTAGCATAGGTTGGGGCATCAGGTGCACATGCCCCGGGGCGCTGGCTGATTTTCTGGGGATTCACCACTTATGAAATAAAGAAAAAGTTACAAAACATATTAAAATAATTAATTTTAGCCTTCCAATAAAGCTACTGTGTTTTGGTAAACGTGGAATGCAATAAAATTCAAATAATATAAAACATCTTAAGAAATAAATTTAATTTTTTTTAGAGGGGGAGGGTTACCGGGGGCGCCCGGGGGGCGCCGAAGAAGGCTGGCACTGCAGACATGGTATTTGAAATTATCAGGTTCCAGTCACCAATGTCGTAAAATGGCTGTTCTTTTCCATTTTAATTCGGGAATTACTTGAAAAGATAATTCTATATTCTCTCATGCTAAGTGGGAACTAACTCTTAGTTACAAGTTTGTTGATAAAAGACAATTCTCAACTACTTAAGAAGTCAATCCAGCTTCAACACAGCATTATTTCTGAACAACAATGAAACTCAGATTGGATATAGAAAAATAGAATACCAAATAGAAAATCAGGGAAATAAAAAAAATCTGTTATTCTGGTGTATTAATGAAGTATAAAGCATAATTGTAATATAATTTACTTTCCAATCAACTATACTTAGGTTAATAGATTGATAGATTAGAATAAATCTTACTTGTGATATGTCTACAACCATTTATATATAATCACTCTACACTTGTCGCTTTGGTGAAATGCTGCGACTTAAGTCTCGTAGGAACACAATAAGCTTCATTATTGGTGTTTTTTTTAAGTTATCACAAAACTGAACTAGCTTCTCTTGCTTAGTATAAACATAATACATTACGTATTTTTTCTTCTGAACTAAATGCTTACTATCTTTATATTTTTAAACGTTGATGGACACAGTTTTATTTATTGAAACTGTGTTTATTCTTTTCCTAAGCCTAATACCTCTTGTTACTGAACGTCATTTCAAAGTAAAGAACAAAAAGCTTAGTAACCTTTCTTTGGGATGCTAAATTATTGTTTCTGGTTCTAATAATATAAGACACGAGTTTGTAACTAATGCTACTACATTACTTAAAATGACTTATAATTTAAAAAATGAGGAAGAAGTGAAGGAATATATTAAGAACCTTGGAACTGAATATCGCTTTGGATGTTTTAGTGAAAAAAAACCTGAAGGTTTAATATATTTAAAGATAAAAACGATTCTTCTCTACATTGTACTTTGATTTAGAAGTAATTTTTTTTTTTTAGTATGCCACCTACTAGGCGATTATTTAGAAGCAACTTCCCAAGACTTTGATAAAGCAGGCAAAGTGTATAGGGTTAATTGTGACAGTAGTAATTTTGGCCGAAGTTGTTTTAAAATTGGAAATTATTTTCTCACCGGTAAAGGTGGCCTTCAGAAATCTGAATCTAAGGTGATTTTGATTTATTTATTTGTTATATTAGCTTATGTCATAGTATATAAAATAGGTATAATGTAAGATTTCTTTCAAAATTTTATATATAGTTCTTAATGTTGTCATATAACTGTATCTGATGTATGTTAATTGTTCTATTAATAAAATAGAAAAGTGTCAAGTCAAACTGGATTGCACAAGTTGATTTTGATGTTTGGTGCTAATGGTTGCCAAAACTCAATGTGGTAGCTATATTTTTCTCTGAAATTAAATATTCCATATGACCACTGTGATTTTTTACTTATTGATTCACTAAATACAGTGTCATGATAATGAACTGTCAGCTGAATGATAGTTTCAGCTATTCCTAATGTTCTCTGCCCATTATCTCTATATTTGAGAGAATTTGTGATAAAGAGATATTCATTATATTCTATTCTATTGGTATTATTGTTTTTGCTTACTTGTAATTGTTGAGTAATTTTTTTTGTGAAATGGTAGTTATATTTCGACATTGTTTTAGTTTTACGAATTTAATACTTAATTTTATTACTAGCTTTATTAGTAATCCAGTATAGAATACTGTGTAGTTAATATGTTTACTATAGTGGTCTAGTTAAAACATTTAGCCTAATGTTACTTTTTTCATACCCTAAGAAAACCAAAGATTTGTTCTTCATTTATTCTAAACTCTTGGTTTTCTTTATGAAATTTTAAAGGTGATCATGTAATGGAGCAAGCCTGGCTTTCTAGGATTGTATCAAAAGACAGAAGACTGTACCCTACTTAAGTGATGGTAAGGGTACAATTTGTCCACGTTAGCTGCTGTTTTATCATCCACTACTCCACAAATCTTTAGGTTTTTTAAAGTTTGTTGTGGCCTGTGAGTACTCCGATAATTGGTCTGAGTTAATTTCTGTTTCGGCCTATGTATAGGCCTATCTATGTGGTCCTAGAAAGATAGATTTTTTTTATTAATTGCTTGACTTTTCATGATCCAGAGCATTTGCTCTACGGCATGCCTGCGCTTCACTACCTTCTGAAAGCAAGTGAATATATTAATAGGATTAAATGTGGGTTGGATGATTTTTTCTCTGATTGGTTGGGCCTGCAGTCGGAGTAGTTTTTAGGATTATCAAAAAATGATTTGAGTATAGTACTCTTTTATATATCATGGTTAGAGCAAGGGTCATCATTAGAATCTGGATTTCCAAGTAAAATAAAATGCTAAATATGTGCATGTTAGTAATTGTATTTTCACTAATATGTTTCAAAATATGAACCACATATATGATAAAAAATCCTGAAAGTTAATGAAACAAATAGTAAAAATAAACTAATATTTACCTCAATTATCGATATGTTAATAATAAAAAAACAATAGCATATAAATTAAAACTATAAAGGTGTAAGTTTTAAAGAAACTGGAAATAAAATGTGATAAAAAAAATGTATTGTAGATTAAAATTGTATTTTATAAGCAATATGATTTAAATTTTTTATTCATTTGAAAACAATTTTTTTTTTAAATTTACAATTTAAATATAATTTTTATTCATTTGTGCTTATTTATTTTAGGTGAAATTATTTATAATAATATAAAGTAAGGCTATGTTTTTATTTCACCGCATTTATTTCCATTTTACATTGCTTACGTTTCGCCTTGCATGCCATTTCCAAGCCATTTGATTTGATCATGCTTCTTATATTTAGTCCATAATTGGATTATACTCATATGTAAGCTAGCTGAAACGTAGCCAATGTAAAATGGAAATAAATCTGGTGAAATAAAAACTTAGCCTTACTTTATATTATAATTGTTATGATAAATAATCTATTTTTTTTTTTTTTTTTTATAAGAGTGCTTATTACTTAAGTAAAATTTTGAATAAAAAAAAAAAATTCAAATTATGTACTTAAAATAGTAATCTGTGATTTTTAATTGAAATTTTTGGTGCATAACTATTTTGTTTTCCAAATTGGCGTTGGTAGATAAAATCAGTTTTTTTATTTTTAATTTAATTTTTCAAAATGAAAACTTTTTTCAGCCTACTAATTTATGATAAAGCTTTTGTCTTCATCGGAGGGTTTTTTATCTTATGGGTCATCTGGTTCTGAATTGTAATGTGTGATGACTAATGTGACTTGTCTTCAACATTTAATGAACTATTTTGCAATCTTTTAATAATTTTCTGGCAAACTCAATTTACTCAAAAGATTCAATGACTAAAAAAATGTATTGTGACCTCACAGATGCAGTGTGAAAGTGGGTGGATAAATCTGAAGTTTTTTTTATAAAATGTTTTCCTTAAAATTTTCCTGTTAGGTTCACTGTTTTCATAATTATATTTCATCTCTAAAATATCACATACTATTGGTTTTCCAATTTTAAATCGTCTGCTTAAATTGCGAATACAAAGAAGTTATTAATAATGTCAATTTTTTTCTTTGAATGCCGTGATGACAATCAAATTTGTTGTAGTAATAACAAAATATTAAACCTATAATCCCTATTTAATAAACAAATTTCTAGTATATACAAATGAACTTAGCTACTGTTAATTGTATAAAAGATCTCAGAATATGAGTATCCAATATGGAAAAATTTTTCAATCAAAATCTTTACATCAAGCCTTTATAGGTCTGTTATGCAGAATCATTTGTATTTTTAAATTATTGCAATAAGATGGGAATTATTAATTTCTCCATTGTAGGGAAGTGTCCACTACAGGAAGTTTTACTGTAATTTTTTTCTGTATTTTAACGAAATTTTAAATTATGGTAAATTAGACCAATGAAATAAGTGGAAATGGCCAATAAAATTTATCTTGAGTTTGACAGCTAGGATTGATTGAATTCTCATCAGAATCTTTCAACTGACTGACGGAACTGACTGACCAAGGCATGTGTCCAATATTTTTCGATGTATCGTCACCCAAAAAAATTTGGTTGTAATCAGTGACCCACTGACTGTGGCCTCAACATATAATTTTTGATTGACTGCGCTTAATTCTTCTAAGCTTTTAAGAACATAAAATTTTGACCTTATTTATTTATGTGAACAAACAGTAAGTGAAGAGAGAAAATTTTAATGTTTTTTTGCAATAAATCGATTATGTAACTAATAATGATTAACTGGAGTATAATAAATTTGTTAATAAAACTAATCTGCTATATTTTTCATTTATTTTCTAAATTTTAGGCTGTTGAATATTATGAAAAAGGCTGTGAGCTAAACGATTTTGATTCATGCTTTAGAGGAGGAATGATTAGTGTATTGAGTAGTAGAACCAAATCACCTGTTAGGACATTGAAGCAGGTAAAATTAATATTAATTTTTTTTGTTAATAGTGTTTTAGAATGTATTGATTAATTAACTGTATTATTGTTATAAATTAATTGTATTTTGATAAAAGTTTTATTGAAGAATATGCTTAAATATTATTTTAAGGTGTATCTGTGATTTTAAATTTATGACTTCTTATTATTATGATAATTTCAATAATAGAAATCAAATATTTGTAATGAAATCATAACAAATAATGTTTCATTATTAGATTATTAATAAATTAACACTTTATGTAAAAAATACATCGATTTCAATATTCAGATTTGTGTATTTGTTTGAGATTAAAATTGTTTCCATTATTTGCTTTATTTAATGTTAGTTGGATTTAGGTATATTTGAATTTCTTAATTTTTTTTAACTTACATTTTTTTTTTTAACCTTACAAAAATGATCTGTAGTTTGGTTTCAATTTTTAACAATTGTTTGTTAAATTTTATTTTACATAATGAAAAAAGAAATGAAACGTAGCAACTTGATTGTTATCGTACTCATCTTTCATATCATAACGTAACCTAGAACTGTTATACTGTCTTCACTATATGCTTCACTGCTTCTATGGTGATCAGAACAATGAAGTACAGATATTACTTCAACTGCTTACATCATACTTCAACTGCTAAGGAGTGCCAATGATATGCTCCATTCTGTTCATTTAAAGCAATACTCTATTACCAGCAGTTACTACTATTCCTAGTGGTGGGCAGCACCTGCAAAATAGTACTTTTATCTACCTTGCTAATGGTAAAATTCAGTCCGTAGTGTTCGACTCGTAGTCCTTGGTTTGAACACACTCTTAACCTGTATAAGACTAGGTGAGGTAACAGCTGAAAAAAAAAAACAGTTTTAAATTTAAGTACAAAGTCTCATGATAAAAAAAAAAACAAAAAAACTTTACTGTTTTTAGTAAAATAAATTGCATTTCACCAACAAATATACTTTTCTTGAGAAAAATCATGACTTTTGCCATGATTATGACTTACAAAATAAAATATTAATTACAAGCTGTAGTTAATTTGGATTTAGATTGTTATTCATTAAGTGCAAATGATACGTCACATTGGATATTAAAGTGTAATATTTCATAAAGAAAGAATTTACAACAAAATAATAACAATCTTCCGGAGTTTATTGGTAGTCAGAACTTCCAGAAAATTAAACTTGGAATTCCAAGAATATATTATGTGGTGAGACAATTTGTTTCATTTACAATTGAGTTACAAAAAAAAAAAAACTTAGGCTTCTGCATAAAGCAATGAGTCGTCATGGCAAAGTGGAAACTACTGATATTAAATTAATTAAGAATTTATTTGTGTTGCTATGATTGGTTCTCAACCTAATTAGATTTGTCACATCACTTCTTTCCAAACATATTCCAATAGGTGCGAATAATAGTTTTAAAGAAATTTTTAGAAGGATTAAATAGTGGTCTCTACCTTTGCTTTGAGACTCCCAGTCATATAAATTCTGCCATTCATTAACAATTGTTTTACTTAGTAAATGGAAAATGTCTGTTTTTGGAACTTAATTAATAATTCTTATTGCTTTGGTAGTATCTCGAGAAATTTGATCAGCACTTTCATCTCTGTATAGACCCAAATGTCCTGGTACCCACTGAAATGAAAATTTATTGCTTTATTGAATAAATAAAGAATTTTATACAGTATTTAATTGGCAATTGGAGTCTTGTGTGCATTTTGTAGGCATTGGCAAATGGAGACTGAATTTATGAGAACAACTATATTACACTTTTTATAATAGAGGTTACTATATTCTGCAGCCTTAAAAACAGAAAGAAGTTTTGCATGGAAGATACTGAAATTGTTTGGGATAGAATAAGACAGATTGATCTTTTTTTGTTCTAGTTACCTTATATTCAGTCTCAAATAAAACAATTTTTATCTAATTTATTTTTGTAAAATTGCTCTCAATCAGTTTTTATGTTGTTCTGCTTATTGATTTATGTAGTAATTAAGAGTTGTTTCTTTGAATTGTTGTTTTTTACCCTTAAGCGACGGATTACAACCATTAAACAAAAATGTATCTTGATCAAAATAAGTAGTAAACTATTTTGCAACATTTTGGTAATTTTTTTTTGTCCTCTTGCTCCCCTTTTAGCCTATACTGGACTTTCCCAGGCCAGGGGGATGAGGGTGGGAGATTAATGCCAGAATTAAAAGCCCTCTTCCACTCCCTCCCCTCTCTGTAACCGGGACGCGAACTTGTAATTATTTTATCTAATAATCTTTCATCGGGTTTTCGGGCAACGCGGTGCTGTGCACACGCATTAGCCTACTTGGTCACCCCGCTCCTCTTCCTCACTGGTAATGATCCAACCTGCTTTGTCATTCATTGCATAAAACAAACCCCAGTTCCCTTACTTTGGTAAAATAATGTGTTAGTTACTTCCAACATGTTTGATGATCACTGTGTGTAATCTATTTCTGTACTATTCTTTAGTAAAAATATTTCAATTATAGAATCCTTGTTTCCAACATTAAAAATCTTCATTATTTGTTGTAATGTTTTTTTTTTATTTTTAATGAAATTTACAACTGTATTACATGAACAATATAACAAGTAAATGTGACATTGGTAACATGACCTGTACAACATGAAGAGAAACTACCCATTGGTAGAACTCAAATTAAAGTTCTATATTAGAAGGTCCCGAGGCCATCTTCTTTTCAGACGCCTCGGAGGGTTATCAGAGATCGAGGAGGAAGCAAGGTTTGAAACGAGAGGATTCAGATGGTTCTGCAGTTTGTTATGGAAGGGTAGTTGTCTGGATTGGACCAAATCAGAAACATATGGAACATTAAGGTCTTTATGGATGATTTTGTTTGTGACAAAGTAAGGAGCGTTGAGGATTTTATGAAGGATTTTGGATTGTAAGGATTGGATACGAGAGGAATTCGATGGTTTAGTGGAGCCCCAAAGCTCAATTCTGTAAGTCCAAATAAGTCTTATTATTGTCATATATATGAGTTGTTTGTAATTTATTGAAAGCTTAGAGTGTTTGTCTAGTAAGTGCTGCAGTAGTAAAAAAAAAAGTAGGTTGGGTGTTTTTTTTCTCCATTTTTTTCTCCTCTTTAATATATCTTCCACCCCCAATAGTTAAAATTAATTATATAAGACAGAAAAGTTCTGAGTTAAGAATGAGCATTTTCCCTTTTGTTTTATTGCACTGTAGGTCAAAACTTATCTTTGTTGGTACCAGAGAGAGCTTCTTCTGAGAACTATGAATCATTTCTTATCTGACTCCTATTTGAACCTAAGGGAGCAATCAGATTACCCAGTATATTGCATCTCATTAGCTAATTATTATGCCAGACTAGATCTATAGTTAGTTACTATATCTATGATTGTTGTTCATAATAAATCTTTTTAAAAAGTCTTGTGTACGTTGAAATTCTTTAATTGGTGCCTGAACGTAGGGACTCGGGCAGAATTATGAAGATATTTATAGTAACTTTGTGGAGCTTTGAATTGGGTGTAAGACCGATATCAAGAAGCATAACTACTTCTATCCATTAGGAAGATTGCCACTGCGTATACAAGTACAGAAAGCATTCTCCAAGACTACAGAGGTATCTTTTCAAAGTTTATGAAGATTTCAAATTGTAATTATAAGTTTATTTTCATTTAATGTTTAGTTTACAAGATAGATTTTACAATTTAAAGCAATCAAATTTTTCTTAAACTCCACAAAAATATTGATCAATTGTTACTAGAAGCTAGAGTAAACTCAGAGATGGCAATGAGAATAAAAGATCATGATTTTAAATTAATTCCTGAGTATGATGGTGATCCTTTACCCTTAGTAGATCTCATTAGAAATGCTAAATTTGTTTATGAATTATATTGTAAAGATTATAATCAATATAAGTATCAATCATTCTAAATTAGTAGTAACATTATTAACAAAACTTAAAGGTAAACAAATTATTGTAACATGTGAAAAACAATTTTCAAGAGTTAATTAAAATTAGTCATTTTTAAATCATAAATAATAAGACACTTTTACTAGTGAATGATTAGTTCCAGAAATTCTTAATACTTGATCATATCGTAACAAATATCCACATAACCATCTGGTACTGCTTCCTTTTGCGGATCAGGGTATAGCAAAGTAACAGACAGACTTTCTGAGGGGAAAGTCAACCATTGATCAGATATTCTCCATCAGAAACATTCTGATGTGGTGCAGAGAATCTATACAAGCAGAGATCCATTGTAAAATTATGTCGGATCACTGAAGAATTTCAGAATCAGAGTTATTTCTTGAAACACAAAGGTGCAACTGTACAAGAACCTGGTAAGACCCGTTCTCACTCATGCCTCCGAATACTGGACTTCACACTGTTCACAGAAAGTCCTTCTAATGTTCCAGAGGAGAATTTATGGCTCAGTTTACGCCAATGAAATCTGGAGGATAAGGACGATATGCTAAGCTAAGAAGACTTATAGTAGGGAGCTTTCATGGGCAGGTCATATAATTAGAATGACCTCAGATCAGATTCCTATGATGGTCTTAGATGAAAGGATTTATGGGACAAGAAGAGTGGGAAGACCTTGGCTCTGATGGATCAATGGAGTGACAGAGTATGCCAGGTCTATCTGGGGAATCCCCAATTAGAGAGTGGCGGCAACGTATAGAGAAGACTGGCAGATCAAACTGCTGGAGGCCTTGACTACAGGAGTTGTAATGTCACGGATAATCATGATGAATCATCTGGTACTAAGCAATCACTTAGATAGGCTAGGAAAGAAAATATGGGATTTTTATTCATGTGTGAATGCCAATGCAGAAATACAAGATAAAAAGTCAGAAATGTCTCAGTATGACAAATCTCACACTATGCCATTCATAATTTTCCATCCTTCACTTACGGATTTCATGTACCACATTAAATTTAGGAAGAGGAAAGAATGCCTGAAACTTGGAGATGAGTTGTCATTTGTCCAATTCA